TGGGTTGAATTCAATTCCCTCAAAACTGCGGCCAAAGGGGCTGGAGTGACAGCACAGTGGGGAGGGCGTTTGCCTTGCACGCGGCCAACCAGAATTCAATTCTCAGCATCCCATAGGGTCCTCTGAACACCGCCAGGAGTAATTCCTGAGTGCAGAGCCAGGAGTAACACCTATGCTTTGCCGGGTGTGATCCAAAAAACAAAAGCAAAACAAAACAAAAACAAAACTGGGGCCAAAGAGATAGTACAGTGGGCAGGGAGCTTGCCTTGCATGCAGTCAAGCTGGTTTTGATTCCTGGCACCCCATGTGGTCCCTGAGCACAAAACCAGGCCCTGGCCACTAGTGAGGTCCCAAAACAAAACAAAGAAAATGATAAAATTCAGCCCTTACCCTTGGTACTTGCGACTGTGACCTTATTTGGAAGTAGTATCTTGGAAGAGGTCATTAAGGTTCTTGAGATGAAATTTTCTGGATTTATGGAGGATCTGAAATCCAATGACTGGTGTATTCTATTTTAATTTTTTAAAATTGAATCATTGTGAGATACACAGTTACAGAGCTGTCCATGGGTTTCAGTCATACAATTTCCCAACATCCATTCCTCCACCAGTGTACGTTTCCCACCACCAGTGTCCCCAGTATCCCTCCTGACCTCTAGCCTGTCTCTATGACAGGCACTTCCTTCCTTCCTTCCTTCCTTCCTTCCTTCCTTCCTTCCTTCCTTCCTTCCTCCCTCCCTCCCTCCCTCCCTCCCTCCCTCCCTTCCTTCCTTCCTTCCTTCCTTCCATCCTTCCTTCCTCTCTTCCTTCCTTCCTTCCTTCCCCTGCTCTTCTCTCTCTCCTTTTAGGAATTATGGTTTGCAATACAGATACTGAGAGGTTATCATGTTTGTTCCTTTACCTATTTTCAGCACACAGTTCTATCCAGAGTGACCAAACTATATTTGTCATGATGACCCCTTCTCTATCCCAACTGCCCTTTTCTCCAGCACCTGAAACAGGCTCCAACCACGGATCAATCCTACTGGCCCTTGTTTCTAATGTCCTTGGGTATTTGACTGGTGTTCTTATGAGAGAAAGGAGAGGACGATTTGACCCTGATGCAGAAAGGATGGCCCGGTGCCATTGGAGACAGAGATCCAAGTAACGTGCCTACAGGTCAAAGACAGCTGAGGTTGGCCAGCAGTACCAGAGTCTGCCTCAGCTTCCAGAAGGAATCAGCCCTACTGACACCTTGGTTTCTGACTTCCAGTTTCCAGAACTTAGAGAATAAATTTCTGTTGTTTTCGACCATGTGGTTTGTGGGGGTTGATAACACGGTCCATATGGGAAACTCATAGAGCCGGAGGAAGAGGAAAGAAAAGAAGGAAAGAAGAAGGGGAGGTGGCACAGAAATTTTTCAAGAGTAAAGATTTGGAGGCATTTAAAGGACAGGAAAGATGGAGGTAGGAGAGAGGATGAAAGGCAGGGAGGGCATGATGAGGGAGCAGTAAAGCAAGTCATGAAGGGATTGGAGCGATAGCACGGTGGGGAGGGCGTTTGCCTTGCATCCATTCGACCGGGGTTAGATCCCCAGCATCCCATATGGTGCCCTGAGCACCAAGAATAATTCCTGAGTGCAGAGCCAGGGGTAACCCCTGAGCATCACTGGGTGTGACCCCAAAAGCCAAAAAGATGAAAAACAAACAAACAAACACAAGAAAAATAACAAACAAGAGCCGATCTGTGAAGGACTTGAATGTCTTGGGAAGCTATAGCTGGTGCCACATCTGCCATATCTGGCTCCTTGCCTCTTCTTGTAAATCCAGTTTGATTAGAACAGAAATATTCCCAGTCACTTACACACTGCTTAATTTTTAACCTTGAGACATTGCAATGGATACCAAGTGGCTGTCACAGTTTAAAATGACCATGTGGGAGAATGGGCACTGGTGGAGGGATGGGTATTCGATCATTGTATGACTGAAACCCAAGCACAAAAGTTTGTAAGTCTACAACTGTAGCTAATGGTATTTCACTAATAAAAATTAAAAAAAAATAAAATGACCATGTGACCTTTGATGGACAAAACTTTGCAGAAATGGGCTGGAGCGAGAGGACAGTGGGTAAGGTGCTTGACTTGTGCACGGCTAATCTGGGTTCGATCCCCACCACCCCATGGTCCCTAGAGCCCTGCCAGGAATGATCCCTGGGCACAGAACCAGGAGTAAATCCTGAGCACTGCTGGGTGTGAGCCCCAAACAACAACAACAACAACAACAACATAAAACCAAGCCCCCCCCCGCAATAAACCCAGAACACCCCCCCAAAACCAAAAAATCAAAACAACAAAAACTTTGCAGGAAAAATAAGACTACTGCTAGAAAAACTTCTTTATGGGGTTTGGATCACACTTAGTGATGTTCAGGGCTCACCCCTGGCTCTGAGCTCAGGGTTCACTCCTGGTGGGGCTTGGGGAGAAATATTGAGTCGCCGAAGACCAAACTGGGGTTCGTGGCTTGCCAGTGCCTTCACTCCTGACTTACCTTCCGACCCCATGGGTGTCCTTAACTTGGGGATCCCCATTCTTGGGGGGTAGGGGGTTCTTGTCACTCTGGAGAGTAAATGGGCAAACCATTAAGTGAGCACCCTTTTAAGTCGGGAGACCATCTACGGATTTTTCCATTGATTGGGGACTTTTGCTGGGTTGTGTGGGCTCAGAGCCATGGCCTTGGGCCTGCATCTCTAGCTGGCTCCGACTTTCTCTCACGTTCTCTCTGTAGCTCAGATCACACCACTTGGCCCCTCTGAGTCTCAACCCTCTCTTACAGGGGTCCTAGGGCCATTTAAGTTCAGAATCAAACAGAAGTATACCTCTTAGACCTGGGTCCTCCCCAGGCTGGAGTCAAGTTCTGGGTGCCTGGTGTGGAATGCTGCGTTTCCCCCGGCCTCGAGGTCACAGGGGAACCAGTCGCCTCTGTGAGCCCGTACATGAAGCATGAAAGGGGTGAGGAGGTGTTTGCTCCTTTCTTGGCTTCGACGGGGCGGGGGGCAGAGGAGGGCCCTGGACGAGCCCTTGCTGGCCCTGAGCTTTCCTTCCCCAATGGGTCATGTCCATGGGCAGGAAAAAAGAAAGAGAGAAGGTAACTGCAGTAAGGAGAACGGGGCTGGGGTGGAGGGGGTAGCCTGCACGGCTAGTGGTCTCTGCCTGGCCTCCAGCCACTCTCCGCCCCCCCCCCCCCCCCCCCCCCGCCCCAGCACGGAGAGATAGCTGTCCGCAGGGCGGAAGCTCTGTAGCGAACACCAATCTATTATGGCATTTGTTGAGTGGGTCATGGCGTTTGAGAGTGGAGAGGATCTGGGGAATGTTCTAGCTCTGCTCTTCCATGGTACAGGGAACACGCTGAGGAAGCAGCTTGTCTGAGCTTCTCCCAGGCCTGCGTGGTGGGCCGGAACTGAGCAACTGGGTGTGCCCCGTAGGCCAGCCTCTGCCCTCCTTGCCCTGTGAGTCTCCGGCTCCCTCGCAATTTCTGATTACGTGGGCGCCCTATCTGGATTGTTGTTTGCTCTTTCCCCGGACAGTTTATTTTTGGGGTTTTGCTTAAATAAACTTATCTCCGAGAAGAAAAACGTCACATCATCCCCATAAAACGGTCAACCAATATCACGCCTGGTAATGGAGGGGAATGGAGAAATTATCACAGAAGCACTGATATCAACAGTCTTCACCTGCGTGCCCCCTCCGGGGCCATTTGAAAGCCACCAGGGGCCCTCCTTCCCTTGTGGGTTGGAAAGGCTGAGTTCCAGCAGAGTTCCAGGTGGGGGAGTGTGTTTGAATTTAGGGCTGGTACTCAGTCCAGGAGTGAGGGACGGGTCTAATGGGTCAAATCAATTCCACTAGATTTGAACCTGGGAGTGGAGAGCAGTCCCTCACCCTTCTGGCATTTTCAGGTGATTAATTAGCTGGTCACGGTTCAGGCATCTATTGGTATGTGTGTGTGTGTGTGTGTGTGTGTGTGTGTGTGAGAGAGAGAGAGAGAGAGAGAGAGAGAGAGACAGAGAGAGACAGAGACAGAGACAGAGAAGAGAAAGACAGAGAAGAGAGAGACATAGACAGACAGAGAAAGGGAAGGAGAAACAGACAGAGACAGAGAGAGAGGGACGAAGAAATAGAGACAGAGAGAGACAGACAGAGAGAGACTCACAAACGCAGTGGTTTGATGGAACAGTGGCCATGAAAGCATCCCAGGAGCCCATGTCCAGTGGCTATTCTGGGGAGACGATGGTGATTGTTAGGGTGGGGTGGGGTGATTGTTATCAGCCCAGCAGGACACGCTGGGATCCATACAGAGGTTTAGAATGTGTTTTTTTCAGGCTAGAATGTTTAGAGCACCTTTTGTTAGGCTAGAGAAAGATGAAAGCTTCAGGGCTGGTAGGACAAGGACAGCCTTAAATCCTCTTGTCTCGCTCCCTTAATTTTTTTCCCCTCTCTATGCAGCAGTGACATTTTATTTTAATTAACAATATATTCCATAATAGAGTCAAGCAGAACAGAGTATAGTAACGTGGGTGAAAGGCACCCTTCCATTTTTCTTCCATGGGCAGTCAGTATGAATGAAGTTACTAGAACTAAGCCCATAAGTATTGCAGATTCTTTCCAGGGATGATGTGCTTACTTAACACATGCTATTACCCTTGGAAACACAGCTTCTAACTGATCAACGAAATACAGCCTTTGCACCAAATAAAGGGTGTTGGGAGCATCCTCCCAGGATGGGAGACGAGTGCTGAGAGCAGACTACAGACTGAACATGACTGCCACCCAAATGCCTCCGCTCCCTTAATTCTTAACCACACACAGTCAGAGAATTTATGGGGCTGTCCCAGGAGACAGACACTCGACATGGAACCCTAGAGAAATTCCTCCTATGCCTCCCCTAATCTTTTTGGATTCCCCGGAAGACACTGACGAGCGGGCTCAGAAACCCGGGAGAGGCAGAGAAACAACAGAGAGGCGCTTACCTGGGGGCTGGTCCCGTGGGAGCCTCCCGGCCTCAGCGTCGGCCACGACTGCTTGCCCGCTGACCTGTCCACCTTTCCCGCCTGGCCTCGCCCCATCGCTCTTTAAGATCTCCTCGATAGAAAAGGACAGCCCCTTCCTGCTGGGGGGCTCCCAGCACCCCGAATCCTTCCTCTCCATAGCCACGGAGACAGCACGGCTGCGCACGCCGTGGGAAGCGGCCAGGGTGGCCTGTGGACTGCCTCTCCAGAAACTTCTGGAAGATGAGAGGCACGCGGAGCTGGAGTCTGGGGGTCTTCGAGAGCAGTTCCCTCCTTCCTGGGCTCAGTGGGTGTCACACGCCGGGTCACATCGGAGAGTCGTGGCTCAGAGCCCAGGCCAGCTCTGTGCCCAGGGGCTGCTGGCCTGGGGGGCTCGCTGTCCTTGGAATTGTCTTACCGTGGTCACTTTCACAGCCGCCCTCTCGTCCAGACCTGGGTCCCCAAGATTCGTGGGGAGCGGCTGGGAGGAAGAGGGAGCAGGGTTGGAGGTGCTGTGTCCGCCTCTGCGCCCTGCTTCCCACCGGTGGTTCCCGGTCATTGGCTGCCTTTGGCCAGGCCGCTGCAAGACAGGGGGGTCACCTGGACCCCAAGGTGCCACCGCTGTAGGGAGACTGCCAGCCGCGGTGCATGACTTCCTACATTGTGGCCGTTTCCATACTCTGCTGTGGTCAGAGCCCCGGGAAGGAAGGGCCTCCTGGGGCCAAAGTCAGACTCTCGCTCCCTCGGGGCTGTTGACGGTGACAGGGCTGTGCAGAGCCGCCCTGGGCATCTGGGCCTTCACTTCATTCTCTGGCCTCTACTTCTTTCCTTCTCTGGCCTCCACTCCTTTCCTTCTCTCCCCGAATCGCTCCCGGGGCTCCTGGTTCGGGCGCCTCTTCCTTTCTCTGGGGTGTCCTGTTCGCCGGCCCCTCACCTGCCCCTCGATCCAGCCCTGAATAGCCTCTCGCTGGCTGTGGGTGAAGCTGGGGACCTTGAGCTGATAGCCACTGACCTCGTCTCCACCGTCGTCCCTGGAGCTCTGTCCCCAGTGACTGTGTAACCAGGGAGGAGGGGGTAGTAAAACCTGATAAGAGGAGGAGAAACTCCCCACCCTTCCTCCCTGGCCGGCCGGGGTGCAGGTGTTGGGGCTGGGGGCGGGGAGGTGGCAGGAGGCGCAGGCCAAGGGGGCTGTGGTAGGGGGAATCAGGTGGGTGGGACAGGACCCTGCTAGGTGGCGGCAGGGAGGGCTGGAAACGTCCCCCAGCCCCAGAGAGTGTTTTCTCAGCTAGAATTCCTGGGGGCTGGGCTGGGTGGGGTGTGCTGGGTGTCGGCCACCAACTGTCCCTCTGAGATGTGCTTTCCAGGGCTCATGGCTGTTATTGCACAAGTGGTCTCATGGGGTTTCATTTGGATTTTCTTATGAGGTTCTCACGGAGCAGGTGGGGAGATGGAGGACCCGATGAAGGGGGTGGGGTGGGGCAGAGGTCACAAGCAGAGCACCCCAGTGGGGCTCAGATGCCAGGTAGGTTACAAGGAGACAACGTGGAGGAGAGCAGTAGAGAGAGAGGGAGAGGGAGAGAGACAGAAAGAGAGAGACACAGAGAGACAGAGACAGAGAGAGACACAGAGGAAGAGAGACAAGACAGAGAGATACACACAGAGAGATAGAGAGCGAACAGAGGGAGAGACAGAAAGAGAGAGACACAGAGAGACAGAGACAGAGAGAGACACAGAGGAAGAGAGACAAGACAGAGAGATACACACAGAGAGATAGAGAGAGAGCAGAGGGAGAGACAGATACAAAGACACACAGTGACAGAGAGAGGGAGAGACAGACACAGAGAGAGATAGAGACACAGAGGGAGAACAGAGAGAGACGAGATAGAGACAGACAGAAACACACACAGTGACAGAGAGACAGAGACACAGAAAGACACATAGACAGATACACACACAGACACGCAGACACACAGACACACAGACCACACTCCATCCCCTGATGACACTTCTCTGCTATTTTCTGAACACATGACACATGTCCACTGCTTGTCCTTGACTGGACATACTCACCATTAAAAAAGATAATTTATTGAATTACTGTGCTGGTGCGGTAGCACAGCGGGGAGGGAGTTTGCCTTGCATGTAGCCGACTTGGGTTTGATTCCTCTGTCCTTGGAAAACCCGGCAAGCTACTGAGAGTATCCCGCTCACACGGCAGAGCCTGGCAAGCTCCCCGTGGTGTATTCGATATGCCAAAAACAGTAGTAACAAGTCTCACAATGAAGACGTTACTGGTACTCGCTCGAGCAAATCGATGAACAACGTGAGAACAGTGCTACACTGCTACTGTGAGGTATTGCATTACATGATTGGGTTTCAGTCATACAGTGTTCCAAACCCATCCAAGTACCAGTATAGTTTCCCAGCACCAGTGTCCCCAGATCCCCTCACATCACCTCCCTCCCTAGCCTGCCTCTATGGCAGGAACTTCTCTCTCTCTGTCTCTCTCTCTCTCTTCCTCTCTCTGTCTCTCTTCTTCTCTGTCTCTGTCTCTGTGTGTGTCTTTCTCTCCCCTTCTCTCTCTCCCTCTCTCTATCTGTCTCTATGTCTCTGTGTCTGTCTCTGTCTTTCTCTCTCTCTCTCTCTCTCTCTCTCTCTCTCTCTCTCTCGTTGGGCACCATGGTTTACAATACAGATGCTGGAAGGTTCTCCTTTCAGCACCGTTCATACCCTTGAATATGTCTGAGTCTCCCGAATCACCTCTCAGATCAATCTAGGGTGTGGCATCACTCTGTCGCTGCTGGGCACCCAAGGAGACCCTTTTGCTCACCCCCTTGGAACGACCTCCTTATTGGCAGCTTCAGTTGTCCATCAAGTGCCTGCTGGCACCCAGTTGTTTCTGTGCTTCCTCGAGGGCTGGTTCTTTCTGTTGCCATTGCAGTGACCACTTCTCCCCATGCCCTCCTTGATGCAGTGACCTTGTCTTCAGGCTTAGCCCTAGTTGCACCCCCAAGTCTCACAGCCTCCACTGCTGTATTACTACTAGATTTCAGGGGAAAGCAAATTTGCTTTACTTATTTTCTTTTCTTCACGACATACCAAGAGATTTCCAACCCCTTGTCTCCCACCCTAATCCCCCACCCCTTTGCCATGTAGGGGAGAAGAAGCTGCCACCTCCAAATATGTCTGGAAAAAATTTAATTTCATGGGAGGGGCTAGGAAGACTAGGGGAGGTGCCCGATTCCAGAGCTGAAAACGTTTATATGTAAACGAGAACAGGCATTTTATTATATTGCCTTAAATGGCTTTAATTTTCTTATTCACATGGGTCAAAATCATATAGTAATCACAAATGCTCTCTTCCTGTTTTATTTTCTGGTCATCCTATTTGCCAGTTCTTAAAGCTTGTTGGAATAACTAATATGAAGTAAATTTGTTATGTGCATGTGAAATTGGAAGGGAACTAGGAAACTGGAGATATTGGTAAAGGGAAGGTCACGCTGGTGGTGTTGGAACACTAGATGTTTGAAAAAACTGTATGATGAATGACTTCGTAAATCACAGTTTTTTTTTTTTTGCCTTTTTGGGCCACACCTGGCGATGCTCAGGAGTTACCCCTGGTGGTATTCAGGGGACCATTTGGGGTGTTGGGAATTGAACCTGGGTCAGCTGGGCAAGGTAAAGGTCCTATCCACTGTACTATCACTCCTGCCCCAATCATGATATTTTAAATAAAACTTAATTTTAAAAAAGAAGTTTATCTGCAAATATCTCCCTACTGGCATCTCCTCGGAAGACCCAATCTCCTTATCTTTTTGATGGAAAAGGCAGAGCTTTATTTACCACGCCTTAGATGTGGGAAATGTCTTAGATGTCCCATGCAGCCATGAGGGAGGGCCAGTGTCTCAGCTTTGCCTGTGAATTGATGCCTGAAGCACCCTGTAGTGGAAGGAACATCTCTCTCGCTCTCTCTCTCTCTCTCTCTGTCCTCTTTCTCTGTATCTCTCAGTGTCTCTGTCTCTGTGTCTCTTTCTCTCACATGCACATACCTATGTAACTGTTTCTTTCTATAGATCTTGCCCCTTAGGTACAGTGATCAGGCTGAGAGGACAACTTCTCCCCAGTAGAAATATAGAGTCTGGTATTAGTTTGTGACCCTCCCCTCCTTTCCCCTCCACTCTATTCCCCTCCCCTCCCCTCCCCTCCCCTCCCCTTCCCTTCCCTTCCCTTCCCTTCCCTTCCCTTCCCTTCCCTTCCCTTCCCTTCCCTTCCCTTCCCTTCCCTTCCCTTCCCCTCCCCTTCCCTCCCCTCTCCATCCAAGCTCTGTGCTCAAGGCTTCTTCCTGGCTCTGTGCTCAGAAATCACTTCTACCAGTATTCTGGGACCACACCATGAGTGGTAGGGATGGAGTTATGACTGGCCACATGCAAAACAATCTCCTTGAATTCTGCTCTCTCTCTCTTTCTCTCTCTCTGACCTGAGCTTCCTCTTTTTATAAACTCCAAGTCTGGGTTTCTCCAGCTAAAATTCTGTGAACGAAGCCCTGGGGTATGAAGCACATTAATTTTACACTATTGACCTTTTTTTTATGCCACCTGTGGAAAAATTTGTCAAGAACAATATAAGACTTGCAATGGCAATGACTGATTTTGGCCTTTGACTCGGTGGAGAGAAACTAATAATGTGGAGAGAAACCAATTACGGACTGAGCTCTAGGCCCTCTGGATTAATCCTCATGCCGTGATCGGTGCCCGGCCAGCATGCGCACCTCAGTGCAGTGTGTGGGCTGGCATCGGGAGAAATCGCTGCTCCTTGCTCTCTTTAACAGGTATTTTACAACTTGCGAGAATTTTTGGATGAGTGGAATGAATTGCCCTTTGCTACTAGGAACAGAAAGTTAAATGTCTTTTTTATGCAGATGACTTGGTTTTATTGTCACACGCCAGGAATGGGCCCCATCACTGCTAGAGAAAAATGGTTCCAGATGAACCTCTCCAGCCCTCCGTTGTCACATTGGGCAGATGGTCTCCAACGTGGAGTTGGCTTTTATCCAACAACCCGTGATTGCACTCGCCACTTAGGACTCTGCCTTCCAACGGAGCTATTTGGGGGACTCATCAGGAGGTGATATTTGCTTAACATTAAGTGTCTCTGGGTGCATGATTAGAATTTTTCTATGAACTTTTGGGGGCGATTTATTAAATGTACTTTGAAAAATGTTTAAGTTAAAATTATTATGGCCTGGCTTGATGGATGAGGACATTAGTTGTGGTGTGGGAGTAGATCCAGAGGTGCTCTCTGTCTGTCTGTCTATTTCTGTCTGTCTGTCTCTGTCTGTCTTTGTCTCTCTCTGTCTCTGTCTCTCTGTCTCTGTGTGTTTCTGTCTCTGTCTGTCTCTGTCTGTCTCTTTCTCTCTGTCTGTCTGTATCTGTCTGACTCTCTGTCTCTGTCTCTATTTGTCTCTGTCTCTCTTTGTCTGTATTTGTCTCTATTTGTCTTTGCTTCTTTGTCTCTCTCTGTCTTTCTGTCTGTCTCTGTTTCTGTCTGTCTCTATCTCTGTCTTTCTCTGTCTCTCTCTATCTCTGTCTTTCTCTGTCTCTCTGTCTCTCTCTGTGTTGTCTTTTGGGCCAGACCCAGTAATGCACAGGGTTCTTTGCTTAGGGAACACTTCTGGTGATAATCAGGGGTGAGGTGCTGGGGATTGAACCAGGGTCCACCCCATGCAAGGAAGGAGCCTTAACTCTGTTCTATCTCTCTGGTCCACAGAGCTGTTCTGTTAAGAGAACCAGCTTTCCAGAGGAGTTCCCTCTCTCTGCCCAGAGACCTTGGAGTGAACTCTCACTCTGGCATGCAAGGTATCCCTCGCTGGGTCAGGTTCCCCTTCCTGAACTCTGCTGCTCCACTGTTGTAACAAACAACATCCTTGTTTTCATTTATAAGTCAACCTGTTCACTCTGCACCACCGACTCTATGCCAGCCAGGGTTTGAAGTCTCTCTCTGTAAGAACACTCACATCGTAAAATATTTATATCAAGCAAAACTCAGTTCTTCT